GATCCTGAGACACTTAACAGAAGACCATGGGGGAGGGGAAGAAAAAAGAAAAAAAGAAAGGTTAGAGAGGGAGGGAGCCAAAACATAAGAGACTCTTAAAAACTGAGAACAAACTGAGGGTTGATGGGGGGTGGGAGGGAGGGGAGGTTGGGTGATGGGCATTGAGGAGGGCACCTGTTGGGATGAGCACTGGGTGTTGTATGGAAACCAATTTGACAATAAATTTCGTATTAAAAAAATAATAAAAAAATAAATAAAATGCCTGACACAGTCTTCCATGTTTATAGAACTTGTAATAATGGTATTAGGGGCGCCTGGGTGGCTCAGTTGGTTGAGCATCCGACTTCACCTCAGGTCACGATCTCGCGGTCCGCGAGTTCGAGCCCCGCGTCGGGCTCTGGGCTGATGGCTCAGAGCCTGGAGCCTGCTTCCAATTCTGTGTCTCCCTCTCTCTCTGCCCCTCTCCCGTTCATGCTGTGTCTCTCTCTGTCCCAAAAATAAATAAGCGTTAAAAAAAAAAATTAAAAAAAAAATGGTATCATATGGAACATATCCTATTGCAAATTGCTTTTTTATTAAATTTTTTAAATTTATCAATTGTTATACATGTAGAATTAGCTCATTCATTTTAATGATCATATAATATCAATTGAATGAGTATGCCACAGTTTATTTCCCTATGGATAGACATTCAAATTGTTTCCACTCCTTCACATCCTAAACAATGCTACCTTATACATCTTTGTATGAACCTTCTTATGTGCCCATGTGAGCTTTCTCTAAGTAATTACCTGGAAGTGGAATTACTTAGACAGTAGACTAGCTTATTCTATTGTTACTGCCAAGTTGATCTCCTGTTTGTTTCTATTCTCACCATCAATGTTTTTGGTATTTGTTATTTTTCCACATTCTAGTTGATTCCTAACATTTTTTGGCTTTTTTTTTTTTTGAAGTTTATTTATTTTTGAGAGAAAGAGAGAGCTGGGGAGGGGCACAGAGAGAGGGAAAATGAGAGTGGGAGTGAGAGAGAGAGAGAGAGAGAGAGAGAGAGAGGGAAAATGAGAACCCCAAGCAGGATCCACACCCTCAACGCAGAGCCTGACTCAGGGCTCAAACTTATAAACTGTGAGATCATGATCTGAGCAGAAATCAAGAGTCAGACACTTAACCAACTGAGCCACCCAGGAGCCTTACACTCTTAGGCTTTTAATTTTTGCCAGCTTGATGGGTATCATTGATTATTCATGACATTGAACATCTTTCCATATGTTTAATGACTTTCAGGTTTTTTTCTCTGAATTATCTGTTCATATCATTTGCCCATTTTTCTACTGAGTTTTTGCCCTTACTGATTTGTAGAAATTCTAATTTCTGCATCTCTAATCCTTCACTGATTTTATATGTTGGGGATGCCTTCTTCCAGTGTATTGTGGCACGTTTCTTTAATTTGGTTTCTAGTGACTTCTATTTTAATTTATCATTCTTTTCCTTTAAGGTTTAAATTTTTGTGTGTGAGTCTTCCTTTTCTACCTTGATGGTATAAAAGATATCCTCTTATACGAGTTTTATACCTTAGCTTTTTACATTTAGGCTTTTAATCCATCTGGAATTAATTTTTGTAAACAGATCAAGGGAGGGATTTCTGTATTTTTTTTTTCCCCCTGTGTATAACCGGTGGTGTATGTGGTATTTCTGGTATCCTTTCCTCACTGATTCATAATGCCATTCTGCTGTATACTGAACTCTCAGATATACATGGATCTTTTTGTGGAATCTCTTCTGTTCATTTGGTCATGTCTTTCCTTTTACTGTTACCACATATTTTAAATAATATAGCTTCACAATAAGGCTTATTATTTGAAAGAAGAGTCTTCCCTCCTCATTGTTTTTCTTTAAAATTCATGTGTACTCTTAGGCTCTTACTATTCTACATCAAATTAGGAATCATGTTGTCATCTTCCTTTAAAAAAACAAAAAACAGGGGCACCTGGATAGCTCAGTAGGTTAAGCGGCTGACTTGGGCTCAGGTCATGAGGTCACGTTTTGTGAGTTTGAGCCCCATATTGGGCTCAGTGCTGACAGCTCAGAGCCTGGAGCCTGCTGCTGATTCTGTGTCTCCCTCTCTCTCTCTGCCCCTCCCCCCACTTTTGCTCTGTCTCTGTTTCTCAAAAATAAATAAACATTAAAAAAAAATTAAAAAAACCAACAAACTTCCGGCATTTTGATGAAATATATACAATGAATTTATAGGTTAATTCAGGGAAGATTGACATCTTACAACGTAGAGCCTTCACATTCAGGAACAGTTGTCTTTTTAAAAGCCTTTTACGTTCTTTAGTGAGGTTTCAACAACTTTTATATGATCTACGAGGTTCTTGCAAATGTTATCTTAAATTTGTTCCTAGATACTTACACTTTTGGTTAACAGTGTGGAAGGAAAGTTTTTGAAATGACATCTTTGTTGATTGCTGCTGCTGTATGTTACTAATTTTTATACATTGTTTTGTATCGAAAAGAATCTGAATTCTTTCTTCACTTAAATAGTTTATAGATTTTTTTAATGACAATACTATTTTTCAAGAATAATGGTAGTTTTTCTTGTCTTTAGCTTTTCTTTCTTTTCTTTTAAAAAAAAATTTTTTTTACATTTACACTGTTTTCTTACCAGATGTCTAAGAGCTCCAGGATATTATTTAGAAACAGTGATAGTATGCAATCTTGCCTTGTTTCTGATTTTAAAGGGAATGGGTCTAACATTTTACATTAAATATGGTGTTTATTTTAGGATTTTGATAGATAATTTTTAATAAATTAAGAGTTCATTTCTCAGTTTAGGTAAGAGTGTTTTGTTTTTGCTAAGAATGGGTACTGCATTTTATCAAATACTTTTTCCTGCATTTATTGAGATGATCACACTTTTCTCCTTTGAACCTGTTTATATGCTAATAATGTTATTTGTGCCTCTCTTTGTTCTTGCTGCTAAGAAAGTTTTTTGTTTTTTGTTTTTTGTTTTTTTTTTTTGCTGCTGAGAAAGTTTTATTCTACTTTATTAGTCTTTTCAAAGACTATTTTGGGGTTTGTTGAAACTCTGTATTGTTTCTCTGTTGTTTCTTTCCCATAGCATTATTTTCTGCACTTAATATCTTTCATTTATCTTCTTAGTTTACTTGGTATTTCTTTTTTACTAATTAGAAACTTTTAGTTTATTGATTCTTATTAAGATCTCACTTATACATATGTGTTACCTTTTTTCCAGTGGATATACTCAGTCAGGTAAATGAAAACTTTAAATTAAACAATAGTGAAGAAAAAAGTGAATGAACATGGTTTAGTTAGAACTGCCAAGATGGGCAACTTCTAACACTAGAAAGTCCAATATTTCATATTACACTGGAAAGTAATGTACTACTGAGGTATGAATTCATTATTTACTGTCATATTATTTTCATCTTTAGTAGGATCCTCTCCACAATCAAGATTTGTGAACAAAAATCCTTATCATTTCTTCTTTCCTAGATTACCCAGAAGTATCAACTTCATGAAGTCACTGCCTATCTATTAGAAAAAAAAGGAGATATTCATGGGGCCTTCTTAATAATGCTAAAGGTAATATTTTACTATATTTGCTTTGTCATTTTCTGTCCACGCCTCCATTCATCAATCTGTCTTTTTATTGAGATATAATTGACCTGTAGCATTGTGTAAGTTTTCATCAGTCCATCTTCATTTCTTGTGTGTCAAAGTAAGTTGCAGACAGTATTGCATCTTACCACTAACTATTTTTATCATGACTAGAGTTTAGTCGTTGGGTAGAACATTTCTTTCTGGTATACTTTTAAGGTGAAATTTATATACAATAAAGTGCACAAGTCTTAAATGTGTCATGTACTGAGTTGTGACAAATGCATACACCTATGTCCCTAGTCCCTAACAAGGTAGAGAACATTAGCTTCATCAGAGAAAGTTCCTTCATGCCTCTTCATACGCATTCCCACTTTTGTCCCCCCACAGATCATCATTTTTCTGATCTTTTTTTTTCACTGTGAATTAGTTTTACCTATTTTATGCATTCATGCATTCATGGGTTCCTCCCTTAGTAGTCTTGTATAATTCTCCTTTCACCATATTTTTGAGATGTATCAGTAGTCCGTTTCTTTTATTGCTGAATGGTATTGTACGAATATACTACTATTCATTCAGTCTCTTGATGATTGACACCTGGGCTATTTCTAGTTTTTGGCTATTAAGAGTAAAGCTACTACGATCACTTTTGTACACAAATATTGTCATTTTCACAGGAAAATGTCAGTACCAAGGACTGGAATCCCTAGGTCATAGGATAGGTCTAGGTTTTAGGTCTATAAAATATTACCAGACCTCTTTCCAAAGTGGTTATTCCATTTTACATCCCCTCCAATAATGTATAAGAGTTTGGGTTGCTAATTCTCACCAACAGTTGATGTTCTATCAGTTTTTCACAAAAATTTTTATCCATTTTTAAAATTGTTATACCTACAATAAAAACTTATCATTTTGGTGGTATTAAGTGTAGTCACATTTTTGTGCAATCGTCACCACTATCCCTCTCCAGAACTTTTTCAACTTCCCAAACTGAAACTCTATACCCATTAAATGGTAATCTCCCATTCCTCCCTCCCCACATCCCCTGGCAGCCCCCATTCTTTATGACTCCATGAATTTGACTACTCTACCTCACATACATGAAATCACACAGTATTTGCCTTTTTGTATACATTAATGATAAAGTCTTAAAGATTTACCCATGTTGTAGTATGTGCCAGAATTTCATTCAGTTTTAAGGCTGGATAGTACTCCATTTTATGTATATACCAAATTTTGTTCATTCATCTGTTGGTAGACACTTGGGTTGCTTCTGCCTTTCAAACTTTGTGAATAATTCTGCCATGAACATGGGTGTACAAACATCTTTTCAAGACTGCTTTCGTTTATTCTGGGCATACAACCAGAATGGAATTACTGAATTAAATGAAAATACTATTTTTAATTTTTAAAGAATTGCCATACTGCTTTCCATAGTGGCTACACCATTTTACATTCTCATCAGAAACGCACAAAGGCTTTTAATTTCTTTACATTTCTCCAACACTTGCTTTCCTCTGTTTTCTTGTTGGTAGCCATTCTAATAAGTGTGAAGTATTGTATCAGTTTTTTAAATACTGTTATCTAGCTAAGGAATAGATTAGGGATATCCTCTCTTCCTATATATGTATGTATGTGTATCCAGCATACATGCAGCAACATGCAGAGGAGTGGAACTGGACCACTTTCTTACACCATACACAAAAGTAAATTCAAAATGAATGAAAGACCTAAATGTGAGACAGGAAACCATCAAAATCCTAGAGAAGAATACAGGCAGCAGCCTCTTTGACCTTAGCTGCAGCAAAAATGTGACTATACCTCTTACTAGACATATTTCAGGAGGCAAGGGAAACAAAAGCAAAAATGAACTATTGGGACCCCATCAAGATAAAAAGCTTCTGCACAGTGAAGGAAGCAATCAACAAAACTAAACGGCATCTGACAGGTCAGATTATATGGAAGTGATGAATCACTAAATTCTAGTCCTGAAACCATTACTACACTACATGTTAACTAACTTGAATTTAAGTTAAAAAAGATGTTTAGAGCAAGGAAAAAAAAAAAGAATTTCTTTATTGGCTTCTAGTTTTTCTCTAGCTGTGTAATCATAAAACAGGCCAGGAAGAATATTCCACAGAGGTTTTGTGTAAGCTCTCAACCTCTTTTAATGTAGAAGTTATCCCTACATCTCTTTTTTCCTTGTCGTCTATTTGTTGAAGATATCGTGAATCTAGTTTTAAAGGATAGTTAAAAGTATTCCTGGCACGGATGGGGGAAAGAGAGGCAGTATATCCTTGAAGGGAATAACACCATTATTTACGAAAGCATAGGAGTACAAAGAAATACGAAAGACTGGGAGAGCAGCCAGCATTTTACTAGGGCTCCACTATCCATGTATTGGCAGGCTAGAAGCAAAGGCTGGGTGCAGATCTGGGAAGATTTTATAGGACACCCTAAAGAATTAGGACAGACTCTGTTGTTCACACAAGATCAACTAAAAGTTTATAAGCGAAGGAACTGATACAATGACTGCTCTGGTTAGGTAGGAGACTGAGGGGCAGGTAGAAAAGGGGGAGGTTCATCTTAGGGAGGAAGCAGAGAGCACTTGGGAAGCTGTGTAGTGTGGGTGTGAATCTGTGAGGCTTGAGCTGGAGGCAGTGGTGGTGGTGGAGTGGGAAGAGGATTGGATTTGAGAACTTTTGATCTTTGAATATAGTATGGAGGAAATAAGAGGAAGTGGTTGATGACAGTTGTATGATTTTTAGCCTATAAGGGACCTCAAGAAAAAGAGCAAATTTGGAGTAGGAGGGATATATTAAAGGTCACTCTCAGTGTATAGTTAATATCTGGAATATCAGTAATGCTGGAATATCAGTTAATGCTTTCTGAGGATCCTAGTATTCGGTTAGAGCAGTGGACACTGCAATTGCATATTTAGAGGTGCCACACTCAAGGCTGTGCCCTCTGCTGTGCAGACAGTCTTGTATGTTCTTTCTTATTCCCTCTCACCCCTTTTTCTCATAGCCCAGTGTGAATTCTATTCCCTTATACAAAGCTTGGATAAATCCTACTCCTAATTACCCTGCTAGAGAATGTCATTGATGACTATATGGTGGTACAACAGAAGCAGAGCGGGGCAGATTAAGTGACACTTGATATTTTGGGTCCCCTTCAGTACTGCTAGCTCTGCTTTCTATATACACAAGAATTCTCTTCTGAATGACAGTAAGGGTCATTCTTTATAACCTTGTTGTTTCTTTAGGTTTTTTCTTGTAAAATATGTAGTTCAAATATTTGTGGATTAGGTAACAGTGTTCCTCTTACCTCCTGTGTTTTTGTTTTGTGTTTTTACCTCCTAGAGACTACAAAGCAAACTTCAGGAGATAACACATCAAGATGAAAGTAAGTTCCTGAGTATAATTTACAATTATTTCTTCCCATGGACCCCATGTTTTAAAAGATGTTGTCTAACAAACTGCATTTATTGACTAATAATTACGTCGATCCGCATAAATACTTGAACATTGATCCCAATTTTAGCTTGTTTTCAAGAGCTCCTAATAGGAAATCATGTAAACCATTGTGGCTTTGTGGTGCCATCAGTGGAGTTCAGGGTACAGAAAAGTAGGCACTTTTCACTGGTATTGTTTTTTTGATTATATTTCTCTGCCAATTTTTAGTTATATATAAATAAGATGCATAACTAAATATTACTGTAATACCTAAATATTACGAAATATTACTAATATACCTAAATATTACTGTAATATGCTAAGCAATCGCAAATCAGAGCTTCTAATGAGGAATAGCCAGTGTTTTCTGCACTGAATTTATGTAATTTTTAGCACAAAGCAGTAAAACTTGACAGTATGGAATGTTAAATGGCCTTGTCACAGATAGATACAAAATTCCCATTATTTTCCTAGACACTTGAGTGGGTTTTTAAAAAATGTTTATTTCTTTTGAGAGAGAAAGCGAGAGTGTGCAAGTGGGGGAGGGGTAGAGAGGGAGGAAGGGAGAGAATCCCAAGCAGGCTCGGCAGAGTCTGATGCAGGGCTTGAACTCAACGAACTGTGAGATCATGACCTGAGCCAAAATCAAAAGTTCGATGCTTAGCCAACTGAGCCACCCAGGAGCCCCTGTATTCCTAGACATTTTAGAAACTAGATTTATTTTTTTTTAATTGTGGTAAAATTCATAGCACAGAATTTACCATCTTAATCATTTGTAAATGTACAGTTCAGTGGCATTAAGTACATTCACAGTGTTGTGCAACCATCCTCACCATCAATCTCCAGAAGTTTTTCAACTTCCCAAACTGAAATTTTGTATCCATTAGACAATTACTCCCGTTCCCTGCCCCCCCCCCCCCCCCCCCCCCCCCCCCAGTCAGTCTCTGGCACCTACCATTCTACTTTCTCACTCTGTGAGTTTGATGAGGTATCTTATAAAAGTAGAATTATACAACATTTATCCTTTTCTAAGTCTGGCTTACTGGCCTAGCATAATGTCTTCACAATTTACCCATGTTTTAGCACATGTCAGAATTTCATTCCTTTTTAAGGCTGAATGATATTTCGTTTCATGTATATACCAACTGCATTTTGTATCCTTTTGTCTGTCAGTGGACACTTAAGTTGCTTCCACCTTTTGGCCATTAATAATTCGGTGAACATGGGTGTACAAGTATCTTTTTGAAACACTGCTTTCATTTCTTCCGGGTATACACCCAGAAGTGGAATTGCTGGATTAAATGGTGATTCTATTTCTAATTTTTGAGCAACAGTTGGGTTGCTTTTTTCTACAGTGGCTGCATCATTTTTACATTCCCATCAGCAATACACAGGGTTCCAGTTTATTTAAGTCCCCACCAACACTTGCTGTTTTCTTTTTTTTTTTTTAAGTTTATTTATTCTGAGAGAGAGAGAGAGAATGCATGTGGGGGAGGGGCAGAGAGAGAGGAAGAGAGAGAATCCCAAACAGGCTCCATGCTGTCAGCACAGAGCCACATATGGGCTCAGTTGCAAAACCATGAGACCATGACCTCAGCCTCTATCAAGAGTTGGATGCTTAACCGACTGAGTCACCCAGGCACCCCTCTGTTTTCTTTAATAGTAGCTATCCTCGTGTGTGAAGTAGTAGTTTATTGTGGTTTTCATTCGTATTTCCCTGTTGAGTAGTAATGTAGAGTGCCTTTGTTATGCCCAGAATTCGTGATCCCCAAAGACCACCAGGGAGCCGAGTCGGATGCAAAAGCAAAGAGCCTTTATTGGAGCTAGTTTGAGCTCAATCCCCTACCTGCACCGACGCAGCGGTGAGATACCGGAGAGGGAGAGCGAGTTTCAAAAGCACAAAGGTTTTATAGGAGTCTAGGGGCAGTTGGTGAGGTAATGGCTGTGGCCTCAGCCGATCAGCTGGGGAAGGGTCGTGGCCTCAGCCAATTGGCTGGGGAAGGGTCGGAGTCCTGTTACGCAGGTCACCGGGCATGTTTTGATCGGGAAGTTTTAACGGGTGAGCGGAGGTTACTCAAGGGGAGGAGGCGTGGTCTGAGGTTTCTGCGATTTTCCCGGAAAGGGGGCACATAGGGGACATAGTCACTCAAGGTGGAGGACACAGAACAAGATGGAGTCGGCCGGCATAGGTCCACCCTTTCACCTTTTCATGTGCATATTGGTTATTTGTGTATCTTCAGAGAAATGTTTACTCAAGTTCTTTGCCCACTTTTGAATTGGATTATATGTTTTCACATCACTTGACATTTTCAAAATAACTCTTCCAAAGTTCATTTGATAGGCGATTTTTAGATTGTCCTGTGTATTTAACAATCAGCACTTCTCTTGGAGCCCGTGGCCCACACATTTCCTTAAACACGTTTACCCTAATTCTTTATAAATTACTTATTTATCTATATTCTTTATGGTTAGATCCTAGGTTTTAGGGTCTGTGTTGTACTGGGGTCATTTGCTATTATACTGAATCTTTTTGGAACCTCAGCATACAATTGAGTGATTTTTCCATATTTAGTTCAGCTAAACATTTAATAATTATTTTTGTACTGTCAATCTCTGTTCAGTCAGATTATGTGAGATTTATTGCATTTATGATATTTTCCTTGTTAATAATTTTTGCAGACATTACATGAAAGATTGAGGGAAAAGTAAGAAGAATGTTTCCCTAAAATCACTGCAATGATTTCCCTAAAATCACTGCAAGAAGCAATAAATTTCTCAGTAATGGTCTCATGTCCACTATTTACTTTCAGATTTAATATTTTTCTAGATACTTAAGAATTTGGGAGGTTCTGCTAATTGCAAGACATTGTGCTAGTTCCTGTGGATTATACACAGATGGCTAACATAGCCGTCATCCAAAGAATTAGCATCTTGTGAAAGAGACAGGTAAATGAAAACATCAAATGCTAGAAGAATCAAGTATTATAAAAGAGGTACAGTGAGAGTGGCAAAGGATTGTGGAAACTTAGGGAATGGTTTGAAACTGATGAATCAAAGATAGTTTGTGAAAGACATAACCTGTCAAGTAAGACTGGAATGGTGAATAGAAGTTTGATTGGGAAAAGCAAGGAAAAAGCATCTGGGCTAAGGAGCACATCATTATGAAAGTGCCTGGTCAGGAACCTCAGGAGTAAGACCTGGTGCAGTGACCTAAGAGCACAGAGGGCGAGAACCTGAGCCAGACTGTTAACTATGTTTAGTTAGGGTCAGAGGTTTATTTATGTTCTGTTTTTAAAACTTGGAAGTCTTTAATGATTTTTGTGGATAGAACTGATGTGTTTGTGACAGTATAAAGGAGAATGAGGGAAGCAAGATTTGGAAGTCAGAAGTTTAATTAAGAAGCTGTTGCAGTTGTGAACGTGAGGTGAAGAGAGCCACAGGGCAGAAGTCATGGCATGTGAGGGCACAAAAGTAAAATCAGCAAAAGTGGCAATTTAGTTGGACATGTGGGTGAAGGGGGGTGGGCCATCAGAGATGACGGAGATTTATAAACTGACTTAGAGGTGATGGTTTCATTAACTTAGTTTGGGAAGGGGGAGGAGAAGATTTGAGGTGGGAAAAATGGGTTGGGTTTTGCACATACAAGTTCAAGGTGCTTGTAGTCATCGATTAAGCAGAGTCTGACAGAGTCTGTCAAAAATTCACCCTGCAGATTATGAAAAGAATAAGGGCTGGAGGTGTATGTTCAGAAGTTATTAGTGGGGCATCTAGGTGGCTCAGTCAGTTAAGCGTTTGACTCTTGATTTCGGCTCAAGTCATGATCTCAAAGTTTGTGAGTTCGAGCCCCGTTTGGGGCTCTGCACATCAGTGCGGAGCCTCTTAGGATTCTCTCTCTCCCCTCTCTCTTCCCTCTCTCTTTGCCCCTCCTTTGCTCATGCGCGCATGCGCTCTCTCTCTCTCTTTCAAAATGAATAAATAAACTTATTTATTAGCAAGAACCTAAGAGTCGAAACCATAGGAGGGGAGGAATTATTGAAAAATGAAAAGGAAAGGGCCTAAGATATTAAACCTACACTTAAGAAATGGAAGGGGCACCTGACTGGCTCAGTCGGTTAAGCGTCAGACTCTTTTTTTTTTTTTTTTTTTTTTTT